CTGCAGCCCCCAGGACCCTGACAAAGCACCATAAATTCCTGACAATTCCCAGGCGTCTCTCCTAGTCTCCCTCCCAGCGACCACTTCTCTGGTACTGCCGTCTCCTGATTGGCCTACGCTAGTGCCCACTGCCCACCCTGCTTCCCAGTGGCTCACTCACCTCTGATTCCCCACATTGCAGCTCCTTAAGCAAGCCTCCTGATGCTACAAAGAATCACTAGCCAAGTCCCCATGACAGGTGTCTGCCTGCCCAGTGCCTTCAAGAGTGATGGAGACTCAGGGTGGCTGTGGGGCCAACCCAAAAAGGGAAGCCCTCCCCGGGGCGGGGGGGGGCACCTGTGCACAGGGAGGTGAAAGCAGAGAAGAGGAGGAGGGGCGTGGGGTTGCTTCCCTGGGGCGGGCTGAGACAAGCTATGGAGCCGTTCCTCTCCTCCCGGGGCTGGAATGGCCGCCCTGGAGCACATGTGTTTCCTGCAGACCACACAGCGCGTTAACGAGCCGGAACGCGTTGCCAACATGGCAAGGTTAAGCCATTTCCCATTGAAAGCTGCCTTTGGGCCCCGCCATGCATGGCTCTCTCCTCGGCGATGCTGGCCAACTTCCCTGAGAGCCCTGCAGGGGTCTGCTATCCGCTGCTCAGCCCAGCCCTGTTTGCCATGTGCCCACATGCTGACATCCCACAGAGAATGCCCTGGCAGGGCTCCCTGAGGTGTGCCTGGGCCCAGCCCACTTCATCACCAACCCCCACCCCAGAGACCCCACCAGCATGGGACCAGATGCGTGGCCTCGGCCAAGGGGGTGATGGATGCAGGGCTGTTTGCCCCTGCCAGGGCACATGGGCTCCCAGCACCATGATTACCCAGAAAACCACCTCTCAGAGTTGTTCTGTTTGAGTAAGCGATGCATCCAAAGCTGAGGTCTGGTTGAGAGGTGCCTTTCTGCATTCCGCATGGTTCATACTTCAAGTTCACGGCCGCCGCCACCTGAGAGTGCTTAGTGTTCAGGGTAACTAGAAGGCAGCATAAATCCTGCTTGCTTTGAACACAGCCCAGGGCGCACCATATGTTCAAGGCTGTAGCCAAAGCTAATCAGCTCTTCCCGTCGCCTTCCCCTGGTCTGCTTATAAATCAAGAGGCCCCGCGTTAGTCACTACACACAGATAATTAGTAAGTACAAGCGCTACCTTCATGGCTCTCCCTGCGCCGCGGGTCTAGGCGAAGCCAAGAGGCCTCAGGGAGCTGCGCTCGCATAGCTGCAAGTTGCTCCAAGAACCGCTTTGTGTGGACGTTTGGGAGACACAGGATTCGATCTAGCAACCACCACCTCCCTCACTTGGCCATGGGCCCCCCTAGCCATGGCCTGGGGCACAGAGGCGGGCCTCTCTCCCACTTTTGAGGTTTTCCTTCCCTGGACTCAACTCCACCTCCCTGGTACCCCAGGAATTTAGAACCACAATGGTGTCTTTAAGAGATGGGATTCCAATACTTTCAAAAACTTTTCCATTATTTTCAACAGAAAAAGCAGCCTTTTTCCTCCTTCACCCTATCGCTCTCCCTCCTCTCTGAGAGAGCCACAGCTTGTGGCTTCGTCACCATCTGGCCACAGGGAAGGCTAGCTCACGGTCAAGGCCAGAGCCACCCGCCATGGACACACTCACTGGCCGGCAGCAGAACTCACGCTGCAGTGTGGGTCACATACCACTGTCCCACACAAGACGCCCACGCACGTCCTTGGGACTCTGTGTGGCTCCTATACACACTGGCCCTGATGTTCTTCCCCATCACTCAGTATTTCTTCTCATTTTTGAACTTCCTGTATCCACCCCTTGACTACTTTTAAGCAGGCCAGGTCACATCAGAACAGCTGATCCGTGCAGCCAACCCTCCCTGCTGTCAGCAAGGCGCTAAGGTCCTGCAGGCAGCTGCTAAGCTGGAGCTTGCACTGGCCCGGTTCCTTGCTGGAACAGGAGAACCGGCCAGGGCTGGATGATCCAAGTCCTTTGCTGTTCGTATTAAAACCACATTTCATCACAACCAGGATGCCAGGGATTCTAAGAAATATCAGATTCTATGTACAAACAAGGAAAGGAAATTTTTTGAAGCAAGCCACTGGTGAAACGATTCCCAAACACGTCTGCAGCTGTCCCGGGAGTGTGGGAGCGGGCACCGCCAGCCTCTTGGGCCCTTAAGATGCATTCAGACCACCCTGGTACTGCCTCCTTCCCTGGGATGCACGGCAGGGAAAAGCCAACCTTTCTGAGAGAGCCCAGTAACAAAATGTTCCATGGCTCAGGCCCTTGGGAGAGGTGGGGCCACTGAGCTGTGTTTGCAAGCAAAACTGGGAGTAGAGCCTTTCTCCGCCTGCCAGGAGTGAGCATTGCTCCGTGCACACCAGGGTCACAGCTCACAGCCTTTCTCAGACTCCTCTGTCCCTTAGCTTTTCTTCCCAGCGCAGAGTAGTAGGGAAGTAGCTAGCATCTGTTGAAAACAGAGCCACCTCTTAACACACAGGGATCCTATTGGATGCCTGACACCATGGACGGCACCAGGCTATCCATATAATATCCTTTTTTCCTATATGAATGCATGATAAAGATTAATTTATATAGGGCATGCTAAAGAGTAGCAATAATTAGGGGCCAGTGCAGTGGCATTTCAGGATAATCTGCCGCCTGCACTACCAGCATCCCATATGGACTCTAGTCCCAGCTGCTCCACTTCCATGCCAACGCCCTGCCTATGGCCTAGAAAAGCAGTAGAGGATGCCTTGGGGTCCTGCCTGTGGGAGACCCAGAAACAGCTCTGGCTCCCAGCTCCAGCCCAGCCCAGCTCTAGCCATCACAGCCATTTAGGGAGTGAACCAGCGGATGAAAGATCTCTCTCTCCTTTCTCTCTGTAACTCTGACTTTCAAATAAATAAATACTTACTAAAAACAATTGGTGGACTAAAACAGTTCAACTATAATTCTCACCCTCACTACCCTTGGACTTGGAGGCCGTTGCCACATGACTTGGCCACAGCATTGCGATGCTGTGGTAGTTGATCAGGTATCTGAGATGGCCACCAGGTGACTGACGGGCAGAAGGCATATGCAGCGTGGATATGCTCGACATAACCACACTCGTTGTGCTATTCGGGGCAGCAGGACAGGGAGGCTCTCGGGGGGCCACAGACAGTCCGGGGGAGGGAGCGGTCACAGAATAAGACTTGATGTCAAACCCCACCACAAGCGGGTGTGCAGACTCAGGAGTGTGGCCAGGGTCATCAAGTTCCCTGAAGCGCCAAGCCAGGGGATGGATCTCTGAGTTAGGATTCTGATCTGCCCAGCCGTTTCCACGCTTCTAGGGCAGCATGAAGCAGGCGTGCAGGGCAGCCGTGGACTAAGGCTTGGTTCTGTCTGACACGTACGCCGCTCCTCCAAGGAGGCTCTCCAAGAGTTACTCAGAGCAGCTCCGTCCCACAGGGGTCGGCACAGTGAAGTGACAGAAAAACTTAGAGGAGATAGCACAATGGCCCTTGAGCTAATCCCCCGCCTGCAAGTACCAGCATCTCACATGGGCACTGTTTTGTGTCCCACCCAGCTCCCTGCTTGTGGCCTGGGAAAGCAGTGGAAGTAAAAGCCCTGGAACCCTGCACCTACATAAGAGACCTAGAAAAGGCTCCTGGTTCCTGGCTTCAGATCAGCACAGCTCCAGCCATTGCAACCATTTGGGGAGTGACTCAATGAATGGAATATCTCTCTGTTTCTCCTTCTCTCTGCACTCTGCCCTTCCAATAGAAATACATATTAAAAAATATTTTTTTTAATTGGAACGTATTGGAGGGGCCAGAGAGGGGCAGGCACTTTCAACCTCTGCCTCACATCTCAGGCACTCACGATGGCCCAGGGGAGTGAAGCTGGAAGCGGGAGACCCCACCTGTGCCTCCCACACAGGTGGCAATTGCCACTGCCTCTCAAGGTGTACAGTGGCTGGAAGCTGGAGCCAGGAGCTGGGGCGGCTGGAACCCACATACTCCATGGGCTGCCAGTTCCTTAGCAGCTGGGCCAAAGCACTCCCTAGCAGACACACACATACTTTAATAAAAGTCAGTTTTGGACCCGGCACAGTGGCCTAGAGGCTAAAGTCCTTGTCCTAAACACGCCAGGATCCCATATGGGTGCCGGTTCTAATCCCGGCAGCTCCACTTCCCATCCAGCTCCCTGCTTGTAGCCTGGGAAAGCAGCCATTGTGATCATCTGGGGAGTGAATCATCGGACAAAGATCCTCCTCTGTGTCTATTCTCCTCTCTGTCTATCTGACTTTGCAATCAAAATAAAATAAATCCTTTTTTTTTTCCACTCCCCATGTGTCTGCAATGGCTGGTGCTGTGCCAATCCAAAGCCAGGAGCCAGGAACTTTCTCCAGGTCTCCCATATAAATGCAGGGACCCAAGACCTTGGGCTGTCCTTAACTGCTTTCAAAAAAAAACTCAATCTCAGAAAAAAAAATTTTTAGGTCGGTTTTTACAGGGGCTTACTGGTTGATGGCCCTCACTGCCATACAACAGCATCATTTTCCCACTGAAATTTGGCCCAAGGGCCGTGGATGTGGTACAACCCAGGTCGGCCCAAGTCACATCCTGTTAAGACGCCTGCATTCTGCCGCCGGCTCCTGATACCCGCTTCCTGCTCATGTAGACCCTGCGAGGCAGCCGGGCACTGGGATAGCTGCCATTCCTGGGGTCCTGCTGCCCACCCAGTAGACCTGGGTTGAGTTCCCAACCCCCAGGTTTGACCTGGTTCAGGCCAATGAGAGCATCTGAGGGAGTGACCAACAGGTGGGAACACCCTGCCTCTCCACCTGTTCAACGCGTACAGTAGTCATCTAAAACCCCACCGCCTTGGGGTGATGTGCCAGTGGAGAGGGAGGGACGAAGCCACGCTCCCTGGGGTCCCTAAGCGGCCCTGACGTGCCCCAGCAGGAGCCTGTGCTGAGACCCCTCCACTGCTCTCATTGCAGCTGCAAGGGTGTCTCCCATTACGGCCTGACCAAGGACAGGAAGCGGCGCTCCCAAGATGGCTGTTCCGACAGCTGCACAAGCCCCACCACTGGGGCACTCTCTGCCAAGGCCTCTGCGCCCACCATTGCTGCTTCCTGTGACGCAGAGGAGCCCGGGCTGGATAACCCCGCCTATGTGCCCACAGTGGAGGATGGGCCGCCAGGCAACAGCCAAGCCGACTCCGGCCACAGCAACCCAACCAGGGGTGAGTCCACAGGGGGGAGGTGCCTTGGCACTGTGCTCTGCAGAATACTCACTGTGGAAAGTTCTAGAAATGTGCTTTTTAAGGGGAAAACATGATGGCTTTGGCAGCCACTGGAGGTTCGATTCTCCAAAGTGGAGTGAAGCCATGCCCTCAAGGCTGGGTCATGTGACTTAGGGAAGGTTTGAAGTAGAGTGGAAATCTTACCTGCCTCTTCTGGCACCTGCCATTCCAACTAGTCTAACCCTAAGAAAGAGGGAAAATGTAGATTTTTTAAAACAAGCTGCAAATGTCTCATTGCAGGAAGTTTAGCAGATAGGGGAGGGCAGTACATTAGGCATTCTGCCCCTGCAGGGCTGATCCCTGCCAGTGACCGAGTGCCCTAGGCATGCCCACCTGCCCTCCTCTCTCTCCCCATGGCAGCACGGCCCTTGGAGCGGTCCACCCTCAGAAGAAGGTCCTTCAAGAAACTCAACCATGCTTTGAGCGTTCTCCGGGGAGCAAGGAGCGTGGCCGGCCCGGCAGGCCAGGGTGGGGACAGTTCTGAAGAAAACGGAGGCCCTGAAGGTAAACGAAGCCCTTGCCAGGCCAGAGACATCCTACGGGGACATCAGCGAGGGGCGACAGCCACTCTCAGTGGCCCTCCCTTCCCAAGGGTGCAGGGGGAGGGTTTCAGTTTTTCAACCCTTGATCAGCCTGCTTGGCAAGTAAGTAACTGAAGGCAGACCCTCTTGCTTCCCTTTCGCATGAATGAAGAAGGGCTTGGTGCCCTCTGCTTCCGGTGCCAGCTCGGGCATTGGGGCGAGAGTGCCAGCCCTGCTCCCAGGTAACTGCACGCGGCACAGTTCTGCGTGCTCCCCACATAGACTCAAAGCACCCTGTCACTGTTCCTGCTCCAGAGGCAAGAAACTGAAGCCAAGGGGCAGAGGGTTACTCAGCAAGCTCCGAATCCAGGCCGTGTGGCCTTAGCATCCGTGCTGGCCCCCGGCAGAGCACGACAGCCCTGGCGCTGACCTGGCCAGTGGTACTGGGGGTCACCTAGCCATGCCATCCTCCTCCCTGCCTCTCTGAGCTGACACAAGCATGCGTGCACTGGTGCTGTCAGTAGCAAAATAGCCAGAGCAGCTCCTTGCCTCTGGGTGGCCTCGGGGTTGGGGGAGGAGGCAGGGGGCTGGGAAAGATTTGGGAAGCTGGGGTGAGGGAACTCAGGGGTGGGCATTTGGTGCCGTGGTTTAAAAGCTGGTTATGTCAACATACCCCAGTTCGAATCCCAGCTCCACTCCTAATTCCATTCCGGGAGGTGGTGGGTGATGGCTCAGGCCTCTGCCACCCATATGAGAGAGCTGGACTGAGTTCCCTGCTCCCAACCCAGCCACTCCTGGCCCAGCGTAGCTGGTTTGAAGGCATTTAGGGAGTGAACCAGTCAATTTGAGATCTCTCCTCCCTCCTTCAAATAAGGGGGGAAAAAAAGAAGAAGTTTTAATCTTAAAAGTAGAGTTCTGAAAGCACCAGTCCAGGTGACCTGTGATTCTCCTTTCTGTTCTGCATTCAGGGCTCAGCCATCAGCCAGCCCTGGGCCTCCGTGGGTCAAGAGGCAGGTCTCACAAGGTCTATTTATGGGCAGCAGTGTCTGAGCGGGGCTAGGGGGGCGGGAAGCCAGCCAGCCTTCCTCACTCCCTCCTTCCTTCTCTCACTTCCTTCCTCACTCCCTCCTTCCTCCCTCCCTCTTTCCCTCCCTCACTTCCCCCTCCCTTCCTCTCCCCCTCCCTCACTTCCTTCTTTCCTCCCTTCCCTCCCTTCTTTCCTCCCTTTCTTCCTTCCTCCACTCCTGTTCACTCAGCAGACCTATACTCCAGGTGCTGGGTGTGCAGACCTCCATAGAATTAGCCAGAAGTTGCCCTCAAGAATAGTAGGGTCTGTGGGGTGGCTATAGAAAGCAATAAAACAGGATGTTTTATTCCTTGTTCGCAACAGTCCGTGCGAACAAGGAAGGGGGCTTGGGTAGAGTTTAAGCAGAAGGGATTATTTCTAACAGACCTTGAAAGGAAAGCACTGGGTTCCAGTCCAGCTTGGAAAACACAGCAGGCAGAGAAGCTAGCGTGACGCACAGGCAGAGGAGGACGTGTCCCCAAGGAGTGCTGCATAACCTACCCTGGCGAGAAGGGGAGCTGTGGGGATGTTGTCACTGCCGGGTGAATTCAACTGCCTGTGTACATTACAGTCTTTCCAAGGCTGTACCACCTGATTCCAGACGGGGAAGTGACCAGCATCAAGATCACCCGCACCCACCCCAGCGAGAGCCTGTCCATGAGGCTTGTGGGGGGCGCAGAGACCCCGCTGGCACACATGGTCATCCAGCACGTCTACCGTGACGGCGTGATCGCCAGGGACAGCCGGCTCCTGCCTGGGGACATCATCCTGAAGGTGCGGCCACGTGAGGGCCACCGGGAGAGCCCAGCAGAGCCGGGACTGGGTGCACAGGGGACAAATGGAAGGAAGGGAGGGGAGAAAGGAGAATGGATGGAAACAGGTGGGTGGGCGTAGGGAGGGAAGATGGAAGGGAGGGAGGGAGGAAAGGAGGGAAGGAGGGAGGGGAGAAGAATGGATAGGTGGATAGATGAGATAAAGGGAAGAAGCAAAGATGGACGAATGGATGGTTGGACACATGGATGGATTGGAAGGAGGGAGGAAAGAGGGACGATGAAAACAGGTGGATGGATGGAAAGGAGGGAAGGACAGATGGACAGACAGGTGGACAGAATAGCGAGAAGAGGGCAGGATGGATGGATGGATGGGACAGAGGGAAGAGAGAAGAGGTGAACAGATGCACAGAAGGAAGACTGAGCAGGACAGTGGACAGATGAATGAATGAGCAAACCTAGTGAATGGGTCTAGTCCCTCTGCCTCCTGGCTGTGCAGTCAGGGTTGTGCACGTGGGTTTGTCGTGAGCCGTCTGCTCCTTCTCTTTGCATGCAGACAGCTCTCCCCACATTCTTTCCCCTTCCAGTTCTTTCCATTCCCACAGCCCATTCTCTGCATCCTCTTACTCTGTCTGCTCCTGCTCTTCCTCTCCTCCTCCTCCCAGCAGCACTGACGGACGATGTCATAAAACCAGAGCAGAGTGACAGGGAACTGTATGCTCTCTGATCACCCCCGCTGGTCACCTGCTGCCCTGTGCTGAATTCCTTGTGGTTGAGTGGAGACCCAGGAGGACAGAAGTGGTTTAGCTCATTGCAGAGACCTGCAGGGGGTGGTGGCAAGGAGCAGAGTGCCTGAGGGTGGACCTTGCCTAACAGGAGGGCAGTGAGGGAGGAATTTTCCCAAAAGGAAGATGCCGACATGACTGTTGATCATAGTGCATGGAGTAGTCGTGCCATCCTGGCCCATCCAGGTTGCTGACGCGCAGGTCTCCGTCTCGCTGAGAGCCTGCACACCCTGATGGACGGGAGGGGAGCGAGCTCCAGCCATCGTGGCAGAGATGCTGCCTTACCAAGCACTAAGGTACAACGTGAGGCCAGGCGTGGCCTCCTGCAACCCCAGGGTGCCGGGCTTCCTGGCACCGTTGTGTAACAGCACATTCTCGTTCTTGTGGTCCTCAACTAGCGCTTATAGGCAAAACAGCTGCTGGGGCTGTGCCAGGGTGTGCCAGGGCACTGCTGCTGCCTCCGGGGAAGCCGTGTTCCCTGTGCTTGGAGGAGGGTGGGAGCCTTGCCCTTGCCAGTCCTCCCTCCTTCACCAGCCATGCGGCAAGGATTCAGGCTGGGCCTGTGCTGCTGGAGTAATTAAACTCAGGAAGCCCGCTACAGGCAGCCAGGACATCCTTCATGGTCAAGGACAAGGGCCCAGCTTCAGGGGGGTCTAATTAACATGATGAACATATGAGCCGGCAGCCAGGCAAGAAGCAAAGATGGATGAATGGATGAATGGTCGACAATGAATGGTTGGTTTTACAGTGTGCGGGTGCTGGTCTTTTTGTTGGGGACACAAATGTCCTTGCACACAAATTCTGTTCTCGCTCGCTCTCACCTCTTGCAAACACCTCATGTACTCTCCTCTTGCTCACAAGTGCACACAGTTCTGTCTCCCACGCATATCTCACTGCATCACAGCCACCTGCACACACACACAGGCACATGCCTCTTGTCCACATAGCTGCACATATATGTGTACACATACATAACACTCTAACATACATGCACATTCTCTTACACATGCACACACGGACACACAGCAGTAGAACTCAGGAGTGCAAACTCAGTTGCAGGGTTTTGGAGAGCCAATGGTCAGGCAGACTGAGGGCAGTGGGGCAGTACATTAATGTCATCGTCGGTCTGAGCTCATTGGGCACGCGCCCTTCTCTGCCTTGGCCTTTCCCTACTTTTTCTTCCCTCCTCCCCTTCTACTCTCTGTAAAGCAAGAGCAGGAGAAAGAGTGAATGTCAGGGTGGGAAGGTGGGAAGACAGGGTCGTTTAGGCGCATAGGAAGGTGACAGGATGGAGCGGCCCCGTAGGAAGGGTTGCAGCTGGCAGAGCTGACCATGCCATCACTCGCCCCGCCCCACAGGTCAACGGCATGGACATCAGCAATGTGCCCCACAACTACGCCGTGCGCCTCCTGCGCCGGCCCTGCCAGGTGCTGCGGCTGACCGTGCTGCGTGAGCAGAAGTTCCGGGCCAGGAACCACAGCCCAGCCCTGGACACCCGCGGAGCCGCGGGGGATGACCATGATGACGACAGCTTCCAGGTGATCCTCACCAAGAGCAGCCCCGATGAGCCACTGGGGATCAAGCTGGTGCGCAAGGCGGACGAGCCTGGGGTATTTGTCTTCAACGTGCTGGACGGCGGCCTGGCTCATCGCCATGGGCAGTTGCGGGAGAACGACCGTATCCTGGCCGTCAATGGACATGACCTTCGCCACGGCAGTCCTGAGAGCGCAGCTCATCTCATTCAGGTGCGTGCCCCCTAGCACACTAGTGCAGCAGGTATGCCCAGCACTCTGCACCTCCTAGTGCCACCGCACGCCAACAGTGACCCCTTGCAAACACCCTTGCAAGCTTAGTTGCAAGGCAAGCCCATTAAGTTTCCTCAGGGTGACAGCAGGCTCTGGGTCGCAGACCTTGTTTCACTCCTCGTGGGGCCAGGAGACCTGTGCTGGCCTGGCCCTAAAATGACACACACAGGCCCAGAGTTCACTCAGACACATGTGACATGTGTCCAAGACAGCTGGCTGTCTGCTGTCCCAAGTCAAGCCATAATACGCATCCTCCTGGCTGCTGGGGCCAGTGCTAGTTCAGGTGATTCCCCATGCCCAAGTCCAGCTGACAGATGTGCCAAGCCTGAGTGGACACTCCCACCGAGAGGGCCACACAGCCTGTTGTGTCAATCCCGTGGGCAGCAGGGTTCCCAAAGGCCTTTCAACTGTTCAGCCCGATTCACCCTCCGACCCGAGTGACATCAGCAAGCCCTAACATGGAATGCCTTTCCTGTTTTGTAGAGTAAGGCTTTGAGATGCTCATGTGGTTACAAGAGCTGATACAGAGCGCTCCCCCAGTCCCTTGGTTTTCCTGGCGGTCACATCTAGTGGCTCCATAGGACTGAACCCAAGAGGGCTGCTCATCTGACCCAGAGATGTCCCTGCTTTACAGCTACACCCGCTTCTGCTCCATTCCCCCGCCTCCTGCACCCCACACCTCCCTCATCTTCCCTTCTCTGCCATCGTCAATGTCAGGAACATCAGTCCTGTATCTTGGTGACATTGGCAGGTAGCTAGCACTGTTGTCAGAGAATTAGACTCTGCTACCACACTTCCCTTCCTTCATGCATTATGTATATACCAGAGGTTTCCCTGCCAACCTGGCCCTCGGTCAGGATGGGGAACAGAGGAGATGGCAACTGCGTGGACTGCTCTCCCAGAGAGCCCACCAGCTGGAGGTTGGACACCGGGTTGATGGATGGTTCCAGTTGGACTGCCACAAGCTGTGATAGCACCGTGGGGGGAGCGCTTCTGCTCAGGGATGCTGGAGGTCCTGCAGAGGTTGTCGCTTAGGCCTCGGGAGTCTTCCCAGAAAAGGAAAACCCTGACCTGAGTTTGGAGGCTCGAGCTGAAGTTCTGCAGGTAGACAAAGCTGCAAGGGTTATTCGAAGACGTGCAATGAGGACACGCTCTTGCCTGTTAGGAACACAAATTCTATGTGGAGCATGCAGTGCACCCAGAGATGAGCAAGAAACGCGACAGGAGTGAGGGGCTGCAGAGGGGTGCACGCTGCTTCAAGGCCCTGGACTCTGGGCAGATGGTTTAGGAAAGGAAGTGGCATGATCTGCTAGAAGATCCCTCCAGAAGGATCTCTCTTGAGGCAGCAGGGAACTCCTGCTCCCCTCCTGATAGGGGAGGCCCTGGGAAAAGTGTCTTTAAAAGCTCTCCTGCCAGCGTGGTGTGCTAGTTTCCTAGTGGCGCCTTGGGCATCTCGCTTCAGGATTGGACAGTGTTAGGGGTGGGACAGGAAAGGGGACAGAGGAGGTGGCACGTCTGGGCAGCAGCTGCTCCAGGCCTGTTCAAGCTCCAGGGTGGAAGGACCAAATGGAAGTCCCCTGACCATCTCAGTGTCTGTCCAGGGGTCACCCTGGGTATGTGCTCACTCGTCCACTCAACTGAATGGTGGATGATATGCTCACCCTTAGGAAGTTCTGGGGCACACAGAGTGGGGGCTCGGCCCCCCTGGTGGCCCCTGTGCCTGAGGCCTGCAGAGCTGAGCTCAGCAACAGGTGGCATTCCCTGCCTGGACTCCCTGCCTACACCCCCACCCCGTGTGCATGCCCTCCTGTGGCCATGTGTCCCAGTGCCTGTGAGGTTCCTCCACGCAAAGTTACAGGCGGCACCTCAGACTTAACGCTAATCCCCAAATCCCCCCATGCAACCCTCACCTTACCTGCCCTCTGCTCCCTCTCCCAGCCTCTAGAGCTTAGCACCGCCAGCTCCTTGGGTTGAAAGGAACCATCCCTGTCTCTGCATCCCTTTGCCAGTCCACTTTTTGTTTTAAATATTTATTTATTTTTGCTTGAAAGTCAAGAGGCAGGAAGAGACCAAGAGAGATCTTCCATCCGTTGGTTCATACCTCAAGTGGCCGTAACAGGCCAAGTAGGGCCAGTCTAAAGTCAGGAACTTCTGGGTCTTACACGAGGGTAAAAGGCCCCAAGCATTTGAAACATCCTATGTTACTTTTCCAGGCCATAAGCAGGGAGCTTGATGGGAAGTAGAGCAGCCAGGGTATAAACTAGTGCCCATGTGGGATGCCAGCAACACAGGTACAGGATTAGCCTGATGTGCCACCATGCCAGCCCTGCCAATTCACTTTGTACCACCTCCACAGATCCCATCAGCCAGGCCATCATCAACTTTGGCCTGGACCAAGACAGGAGCTTGTTCCCTGGGCTCCTGATTTCCATGCTTAGATGCAAATTCGACCTTCATTGAGCTCCATGGCCACATTGTGGCCGTGGACCTCCCTCCAAACTCATTACTACGCTGTGCCCTATCCCATGAATTTTTGTTACCTTCTTGCTGCTTCAGAAGCGTTTCAAGAACTCCTCCTCTTGGGGACAATGTCTTGCTGTGCCGCCCAATGGGAGAATCCCCCACCCACGCCACATACGTGCCTCCCCATAGGACACGGGTATCTTCACAGCTGCTCTGTCTTCTGCCACGTGGTCTTCTCGGGCCCCGTGAGCCAGTGCAGCAGAGCACAGCCAGTTACTCTATCGCAACACTGAGATCCATGCCTGCCAACACAGCTATGCAGAACTTACGCATTCTTTATAAATATTTGTGGAATGGATCCATAGGGTGAGATGACAACACTGTAAATATTGGTGCACACTGACCCATGTGTGCAGACCACATGGGACTGGGCGTCAGACCATCTGCCAAAGAGCCAACGTCACATCCACTGGGGTGTGCTGTTTGCCCCCAAGAGCCAACACCACATCCACTGGGGCATGCTGTTTGCCCCAAGACAGACACTACTCCAGTGGTGGATGTTGCTCAGTGGATGTTAGTCAAGCAGAAGGCCTAAGGTCTGATGATGACCAAGACATAGCTGCTGTTTTTTGAGTGCTTGGGGCGCACTCCTGCTTCCGATGGCCAGTACAGTCTGGGCAGGATGTGGGAGGTGGTGTTAGGGCAAAACAGAAAAAAAAAAAAAAACCTCAAGAGAATATGTATGCATGCAAAAGGAAAATTCCGAGATTTTTCTGGCTCAGAAGAAATTGCATTCTTAGTGCTTTGGGTTTTGTTTTGTTTTTCCTCGTTAAAAAAAAAAAAAAAAAAAAAGACATTTTAGGTGATCGGCCGTATGTTTTCCACATTGTTAGCGCCACCTTCAGGTTCATCAGTAACTCAACATGGTGCACAAGCATTTAGCCAAGTATCTTTCAAAACAGGCGCCAGAAGAAAACTCCCTTGCTTGTGTCATGTGGAAAAATCTCGGTAACATATGGCATCAACGTTTGTAGATTAATAACAGAGGAGCAAAAAGAGAATTCCCTGAGAAAGTTAATTTATGAAATAAAATCTTGCCTAAGAGTGGAACTTCCTGAAAGATTCTTCTGCTTGCTAAATAAAGCCCATGTGCTTTACAAGCAGGAAAAACTTTAAAAACAAAACAAAGCAAAAGGACTTGGGCAGAACTTCTTGGAAAAGAAATGCAAAAAAACAAAAAGCAGAGTGATGGAAAAGCTCAACTAAGCAACCTCTGGCTGGTTCTGCAGAATGGATTTAATTTATGCACTGTTCGCAGCACACACCAGGCTGGGGGAGGGGAGCTGAATATCTTTAAATATTGAGACTCAGATTTCCAACCAATCCTTGGCTGTGTTGCCCTTACGTGTCGACTCCATGAATCACATCAGCCTCACAAAGACATTCCCAGACCACACATTCATTGATCGTGTCCTGTCCCGGGTACCACAAACAGCCTGCTTTTTTCCTGCCTGGCTTGAGAAGAACCAGGAGCCTGGGACTTAGCAAGCAGCTTCCTCCAGTGTCAGTCACTTGAGCTGATTGTGCCCTGTGGCTGGAATCACTGTTATTCAAACAGCTTTTTGGAACTTGCAGACCTAAAATAGGAGAGTAAGAGTAGGGTAGGGCCAGGGAGAAAGGGACTGCAGCGGCAGGACAAACCCTGGGCGTCCTGAGCCCCGAGGGTCAGCCGTGCCGCCCTGTGACCACACGGGGCTCTGCGGTGGGGGGAGGCCCACGGAGGCAGCTACACGGTGAAGAAAGAGCTTATGGTTTTCCATCCCAAGCTTCCTCCCAGTGCCCCATTCCCCACAGCTCTGTTCCCAATCCCATCCCCAGATTCAGTGCAGAAGCTGAAAAACTTTCAAGTTCTTTATGGAGCTGGCCGTAACAGGGGCTGCCTTCACGCCGACAGGCACGCAAGTTTTGTTCCCCCAAAGAAGGAGTAATTGAGAAGCTATTTCATGAGACTCTTCAAACTTCTGGAAAGCGTCTGGCAGACCTATAGGCAGAGCCAGAAAGTAAATATGGGATTACTCATGTTACTCGCAGCAAACATTGGATCACTCATGTTACTTACGTTGGTTCTGAATTTGTGAGTCTGGCTCGTGAGCTCTGACACACGTTGGAAGAGTCATGGTGATCGGAGCCAGGGGGCAACCCCAGAAGAGAGGCCTTGAGAGGGTCCTGTGTGTCATAGGTCAGCGTGGTTCATCAGGAACCCAGCACTTAGAGCATCCTACCACGGATTGTAACACATGTAATACACACAGGAGAGCTCGGTGGGGAAAAGCCCTCCTGGAGCGAGAAGTCTCAAAGTCCAAATGATTTCTGTGTGGGGCTCTGGCTTGTTTGCATTAAATTTTCCGTGTGACTCGGTGGAGCAAACAGACTTTTCAAAGCAGGGTGTGTGTGAGATATGCACACTTTATTTCTCCTGCCACTGTCAGATTTTGCTGTCTGAATTTGGCAGTTTCATTTCATGAACTCTGTAACTTTATGTTCTTGTGAAAGTTCGAAGCCATGTGCCTTGAATACTGATGATAACAGAGTCAGGTCCCAGTCTCCCAGAATCCCTTGCTTCTTTCCCATCTTTTAAAAAGTTTTTGAGATAATGTGTTCAATTTAGTGAAAAAGGCCTAATGCTCCACTAAAAAAGAAGTTCAAGAAATGAAGAGTTTTAAAAAACCCATCATTCGGCAACAGCTATGGACAGTAATCAAGTGAAGAACTGCCAGCTTCACCCATGAACAGTCACCTGCAGGAAGGGCAGTGACATCATTCGTAACAGTTGGTTGGACAAGGATTTAAAGCAAAGTTTGACCAAGCGCCATCCTTGCAGCAAAAGTGGTACACACAGGCACTTCTTTCCTTCAACTTGGGGTCTTGGAAGGGTGCAGGTCACCCATAGCCGCACACTGCCAGGACTGCGGTGGGGGAAAGAGGGAACTTTAAGCATCCTCTGCTCCCTCCAACCAACACACCTATTTGTGGCACACGGAGCAGAGTAAATTCCCAGAGCCGCCTCCGGACCGACTAAAGGAAGGCCATTGGCAGCAGTGCAGTTGGGTGGCTGGACTGACCCAGTCTGCGGAAGATTCTGGGACTCAAGCCTTACATTCTTATTGTGACCTTGTGCCTGACACTTACTACGACCCTGTGTGATTCACCCTCTGTGTTGTGGCCCTGGATTTCCTGTGCCTGTGGGAATGCAAGGGTGAACAGGAAACAAGCAATCAAAAGGGAGAAAGAAACCACCGTGCTGCCCAACTTTCGCTTCCTACACCTGCCAGAGCCCAGCTCGCATGCATGCCTCCTTATGCCTTCCTTGGCTCGCCGAAGGAGCTCCCCTCAACACGAGACTTGTGAATTCCTCTTGGAACATGCCTGCACGCTGGGAGTTGATGTTTCAATGGTGAACAACCTGGTGCACGCCAGGATGGCTTCCTCCCAGCACGTATGGGCGTGCTGGTATGGGCATGTCGATCACCATGAGTCATTAGCTCCTTCTGGAATTGTGCTTGGAACCCCTGATTTCTTGTGAGGAGATGGAATGCTTTCCCCCAGCAGCACTGGACGGATGGGAAGGGTGACCGAGGTCAAGGGCCTTGCCGTATCAGCAGGCGTGACTCACATCTCTGGTCTTGTCCAGGCGTCTGCTCCGGTTCCCATGCCTGCAGTTGCCGTGTAAGCCACTCCACAGCTTCCGAATTGGGCTGTGCTCCAGGGATCAGCCCCAGAATGTCCTGAGCAAGATGCACCCCCTCAGCGCCCCATCTTTCAGTTAAATGAGGATTCTTTCAGAATCATGAGGACAGAGATCCATAGAACTGCTGACTTCTAATACATGGAACCAATCCCCCCACGTTTGCAGCAATGGCCACTGAGGTCCCCAACAGAGCGGGTATAGCAGCGAGGGCTGCCCATGAGGCCCTGGGTACAGCTGGTCCACGGGCCAAGAGGCCGCCCTTGCTCTGTGCTGGATGGATCGGAACATGTCTTTCAGGTTCAGTTCATGCACATGCTGAGCGAGTTCCAAGTCCCCAAGGTTCTTTCGCATGACTTGCGAGCCCTTCAGCATGGGAGAAAGCAGGAGTGACTGATCTGGACAGGACAGAGCCCCAGGAGGGTGTGAGAGTCACCTTCTGCTAGGACTGTCGCATGGCAAGTGACTCAGAGCTACCTGGCAGAGCATGCATGAACAGGCCAGGGGCCAGGCAAGCGACTGGCGAGTGACAGACCAGCCAATTAGTGCTTCCCTGGCACAGCCTGTGCTGCCTCGGGGGGCACTGAAGCATCAGCTGAGTGGCCCCTGGCCAGGATTGGGCAGGGAAATCAACAAGCTGTGTCCGATGGTATCTGACATCTTGTGTGCGTGTATAATGTTCTTGCACTCTGCTGCTCTCCCAGGCTTGGTGAGCCAAGATGGGTGAATTGAGAATGGTCTCGAGCAGCTGCTGAGAGAGGAAACCCCAGGCAGGGGGAGAGTGCCCGCTGTTCAACCTATATTCAATATTACTGGAAGCCAGACCGCCTTATTCCGAGATCCCTTGGAAAAGGAAATCTACAGAGAAATGCAGTAGGGACACTTAAAAAAAAAAAGTTGGTGGCGGGCACCTGTGATGTGAGTGGGCGGCCTGCCAAGGTGAGAGTGGCTGAGACAGCAGCCCAGGAGTCCAGTCCCTCTGCAGCTCTTGCCCGTGCCCCACAGGGAACCACCATCGAGCATGGATTCCTGGTGCCCTGAAGGGACCTGCACATGGTCCTGCCTCTTGGACCCGTGGAGGCCCAAGGCCCAGCTGCCCGTGATGATGATAATGACCTGGTCGTTGCCAGGAGAGGCAGTGGCCTGTAAGGTGCAGTGTTGGAAAGCTAACCCTAAGAGTGCAGCCGTGTGGATTGGATATGATTTACCGGGCATTTTATTTAACACGCTCATAGCTAAAGGACTTCAAAAGGCTCGTGGAAAATGGAATGAAGAGATGTTGATCTGGGTGCAAAAAGATTTTGAAATTCATGCATTATCAGCGGATTGTCAAAGCATTCCAAGAAAATTCAGATGTGCAGGAAAAATTACATTCAGGTTTCCAAAGCAAAACAAAACAAAACAAAAAAAAAAAATGAGGCACCAAAATCAACAACCTCTTCAATTTTTCTGGAAACTCTTTGGAGTCCCCTCCTGGGGCATAAAGTTGCTGGTTTGGGCTGTACACTGGCAGCATGAGCCGCAGTGGAGCTGGGAGGGAAAAGCCATTTGCAGACCGAGCAGCAAGCAAGGCTGTGCTCACGGTGTGGGACACCCCATACAACTCCTTCCCTCTCAACCACTCGACAGCACTAGACAAATCCCCGTGAGGGCGTGGCCTGGGCTGCCCTTCTCCAGCCTCGGATCAGTCCCAGCATAGAAATGTAATGGGCAGTTGTGAGTCCAGTTTCAAAGGGCTGAACAGTCAGTGCGCAGAGTGGGAGCCAGGCTGATCGGGACTGACGCTGCTCGCTGCTTGAGGCTCGTTTCCTCCCAGATGCTGCGTTCTGTTTCCTCAGCTAAAGTTACTGCTGCTCCTCTGGAACCCCTGCCCCCACCCCCACCTGTGTTTGTCCCTCACGCCACCTCCCTGGACTGTCCCAGAAGCTGGGAAAGCTCTGGGAGAATGGGGCTTACAGCCCCAGGTGTGCAGCGTCCCCCTGCCACCTGTCAGCCATGGGGACGGAATGCTGAGCGGCCTGTGGTTTGGCAAGCATGGTCCTGGTTCCTGAGATGTGGAGTTGGTTCCTGGGCTGCAGGAAGGCAGGCGCAGGTGGCCTGTGTCTTGGGCCATGTCAGCTGCTGTAGCAAAATGCCCTGACGGGTGGTGGCTGTTCCCGGTGGCCATCGTGAATGGCCAGCCCCGGTGGCCGGCAGAGCTGGTGTCTGAGGAGGACGCAGTGTCTCAGCGGTGACACCATCGCCCAATCCTCACACATCGAAGAGGGTCAGCAGGTGCCCTCAGTCACGTGAAGGGCACTAATCCCATGCCAGGCGCTCTGCCTTTGCGACTCAGGCACCCCTGCTTCCCAATGCCACCATTTAGAGGTTTGGATCGCACGCTCTAAGTTCTGGGGCAAATGTGGGCCTTCAGACCACAGTGTGAAGATCCGCTGTCTGCATCATGGAGAAAAGCAGAGACTCATGGGCCCCTGAGAGCCTGGCCTGGCTTCTCCACATGGCAATAACCAGGCCTGTGCCTGAAGGAGGCAGGCATGAGCATCCATGGTCCAGCCAGGCCTCATTCATCCACTGTGACTACTTCTTCGCCTGGGCGAGCAGTGAGCCCTGGCTGCCTCATCTCTGGGCCTCAGGGCTACTCTCCCTGCCCTGCTGGTCACTGCAGGCATGTGAGCCTGACCACGGCAGGATGCCAAGCCATGAACCAGTGGATGGCATGCACCCTTCCAGGAAGCAATGCATGTACATTTCCTGTATTGCCATGCCCTGTGCCAATGTTACTGAACCTGGCAGGGGGCACCAGTCACCAGAATGAGTGGTGGCCAAAGCACAGGCAGAGGGCTCACCCTTGACTGGACCAGGTATTTCTTGCAGGGTCTGGAGCCTGAGGCTATCACATGGCAGATTCCAGTTCCCACAGCTGTGCGCAGTTACTGCCACTAAGCTCTCTGCTTTCCTTGGCCATTCTGAGCTGTGCGCCCAGCTTGGTCTGGGAAGCCCCGCAGGTCTGGGTCATGTGCAGTGAAGCCCTTGATACAAGACAGGCCAGCGTAGCAGACGAGGTCTTCGCCAAGGCTTGGCAGAGGTGCCATACCTGCTCCAGGCTATCCTGGCAGCAATGGTCACTACCTGCAGGATGAAGCAACAGAACCCTTTCGTTTTAGCTAAATTACAACACAAATGCATTACAAAAATACATGTATATACTGAGACATTGTATTTCGCTCTTAAAAAGGGGCTACAGTTCAGGACGTATCTTGGTAAGCCCAGGAGCAGGAGGCTGTGTGTATGGAAGCCCAAGGGTGGCTAACACTCGTGTATTCTCACCCAGGCCAGCGAAAGGCGTGTCCAGCTCACGGTGTCCCGCCAGGGACGGCAGCAGAGCCCCGATATGAGCCAGGAGGCTGGCTGGAGTGGCACCGTTCGGGGCCCAGGACCTGGCGACAGGACCAGTGCTCACAAGGTAAGGCCAGCCAGGTGCAGCCGCCACTCCTGTGTGGAGCAGTTTGCTGGCAAGCCTATGTACTTGAACATGTGCAAGTGTCATCTCTGGACTTTGTCACTCGTAGCACACCATTCAGATCATAAAACACTTGGAATGCAAGCTCCGCCTCTGAGCCACGGTGAGGCAGCAAATGTCTCCCGTCCAAGCAGGACCTCCCATGGGAACCACCATTCCCTGCAAGCCAAATGGATGTCACGTGATTCACCCAGAGTCATTCTGTGTGAAGACTCAATGAAACAAAGCAAGAGGTTCGCCTGGTATTCTGAACATCCCTGTGGGAGATTCGGAACCCCAACCCTCTCGGCTTTTGTAATGTGCTCATGTTTGCAGAAGAGTCTGGAAGCATAGGCAGCATTAGGGATGCTGGTGACCGAGGTGAACCCCAGAGCCAAGGTCCTGCATTAGGCGTTCACATCCAGAAACACCTATCAACACTGTGCATTCAGCCGATGCCACTGTGGGTGGAGCCGCCCTCTGGGCCAGGAAACTTGGCCCAGCCTGAGCTCAGCCGGTGGGCTGGGGGATTCAGGGGAACCACGACCTTTGAAGAGGATCTAAGAGCCCTTCATTGCTGCATCCACAGGGAGGGAAGGCGGTGCCCCGTTCTCACTCAGGAGGCCATGCCATGGTGCAGGAGCTGCTGAGTGGAGGTCTGTGGCCACAGAGGTAGACGAGCTTCCCCACCACTGTGCTTGTGGAAATGTCCCGGCGTCCGTGCCAGCACAGCCCTGTTCTGCAGCCGGGCCTGCCCCCGCAGCCACACAGCCCAGCTTGCTGACAAGAGGCCGTGTGGGCAGATGCAGAGCATCCTGCTGACACACTCTGCCTCACAAATAACACCAGAGCAGGTTTACGTTACATTGACAGCAGTTATTGGCAGAAAACCGGCTTTTCAACTTACAGAACTAATTAAATGTTTTCTCTAATTAATTTCAGTTGAATTAACTAGAATATATTACCGTCTGAGCCATTCCCCTGCGGCAGGCATTTGGAGCAGCAACCGACTCACCACTTGGCATGCCCACGTGGTGTAAGTCCCAGTGCCTCATCCCTTCTGTGATCCGGCTTCCTGGTGATGCTCACCCTGGGAGGTGGCAGGTGCCAGTCCTTGGGTCCCCACCACCTCCCTGGGAGATCTGGCCTTGGCCTGGCCCTACTCCAGATGGTGTAGACATCTGGGGAGTGAACCAGCAGATGAAAACTTCCTCTCTTTCAGCCGATCTGTCTGTCAACCTCTGAAGTAAAAGATCAATAAAACAAAACTCCTAAGGATCCACAAACCTGCACCACAGTGTGGTTTTGTTGTTATTTTCACTTCTGGAAAGAACGGGAACTCTGATCCCATCTTTTCCACCATCCATCCTGTGTCTGGTTCCTGGAAGCCCCCAGCCCAGCCGGCACAGTGGGAAGCCATAATTACCTTCATGGTCCTATGCAGAGCTGAGTCTGCTGTTTTTGTTCATTTTTTTTTATGATTTGTTTATTATTATTTAAAAGGTAGATTTAACAGAGAGGAGGACAGGCAGAAAGGGAAGGTCTTCTATCCACTGGCTCATTCCCCAGATGGCCACATTGGCTGGAACTGAAGTGATCTGAGGCTGAGAGCTGGGAACTTCCCTTGCACACACAGGTCTCTCTCTAGTGGCTAAAGCTGACAGTCCTAGTGATGCTGTGAGCCAGAGGCAGGAGCCTCACCTGTGTCTTTCTCTGCTCCCAAGCACCAACCTCATGTGTCTTCGACTTGCGTAACTCGTACAGCTTGGGTGATCTTTGCCTGAATGGATGCAAGCCAACCAGTGATTACACACACCATGTTTCTCTATGCCTTCAGCCTCTCCATTCTGTAGCCACCTGCCGTGAGAAGGTGATCAGCGTCCACAAAGACCCCAACGAGTCCCTCGGCATGACGGTGGCAGGTGGAGCATCACACAGGGAATGGGACTTGCCCATCTATGTCATCAGCGTTGAGCCTGGAGGAGTCCTAAGCAGAGACGGAAGAATAAAAACAGGTGAACGAGGCAGGGAACTGAGGCCTTGGGTTGGCAGAGCATTGGGAGGAATGAGCGGGTGGCTGGGTTGGGTGACCAGTGCCAGAACTAATGAGAAAATATGAAAGAGGTCTGCCAGGACATTTGTTACCATTGACTGAGCACAGTGGCTACTGTCCATGTGGGTCCATGGGAGCCAATCTGTCTGCCAGAACAGCTGGAACCTCTGAACAACTCAGGAGTGAACAGAGGCTGTAGCGGTTAAGATGAAGTTGCCTTGATTGAATGGCATAGGTAAGGTAGGCCCACCTCTTCCAAGCAGTTCTCTGCTGGACTGATTCTGTGATTAGACTAATTCAGGGAGTGTTCCATCTGATGGGTCAGATGAAAGATAGGAATTCAGTGAACATTAAGGAAAATTGCCATACTAGATACCATTTGTGAAAAGCATCTGAGTGCTTTAATTGCCCATATTCTGGTTGCTTTGAATGAAGGGAAGATAATAACCCAAATTGTCTTTACATATATGTGTGTTTTTTAATTTATCTATTTGGGCTTTGTGTGATGGCTCAGTGTCTAAATTCTTGCCTTGCACACACCGGGATCCTACATGGGCACCAATTCATAGCCCAAATATTACACTTCCTATCCAGTTCCCTGCTTGTGCCCTGGGAATGCAGTCGAGAGCGGTACAAAACCTTGGGACCCTGCACCCACATGGGAGAGCTGGAAGAAGCCCCTGGCTTCGGATCAACTCAGCTACAGCCATTGTAGCCACAAGGGGAATGAACCAGTGCATGGAAGATCTTTCTCTCTACATCTCCTTTTCTGTTAAATCTGCCTTTCCAATAAAAATGAATAATTTTTTAAAAAATTTTTTTATCTATTTGTAAGACAAGAGTCATAGAGAGAGGCAGAGAGAGATCTTCCATTCACTGGTTCACTCCCAAAATACCCACAGCGGCCAGGGCTGGGACAGGGCAAAGCCAGGAGCCAGGAACTCCATCAGGGTCTCCCATGTGGGTACAGGTGCCTGGACCCTTGGGCCATCCTCCACTGCCCTCCCAGGCACATTAGCAGGGAGCAGGATGGCACTGGTGCCTGTAAGGGCTGCTGACATCACAGTGGCAGCTGCATCTGTTACACACACTGAAGCGTTACAAGTATCTTGAGCAGTACTATCTGTCAGCTCGGATGGCTCGGGATGCCCAGCACACTCTCACCATGGTGGCTTCTGCTTCTGGCCCTCAGGTGACATCCTGTTGAATGTGAATGGCACGGAGCTCACTGAGGTCAGCCGTAGCGAGGCTGTGGCCCTGCTGAAAGGCACATCGTCCTCAGTGGTCCTGAAGGTCTTGGAAGTCACAAATCCTGAGCCCCAGGGAGACCTGGGCAGCACCTGGGAGGCCCTGGACTGCGACCCCGACGAGGCAGCCCCATCTGGTGAATGGGCCCCATCCTGGGTCATGTGGCTGGAACTGCCAAGGTGAGTGCCTGGCTGTGACATGCTGGTTGGGGCGGGCCAGGAAGCTCATTGCTTCTGCTGCTCTTTCACACCACTGGGCTGAGCCAATCAGGGTGCTAGCATCTTGACATGCTCCAGTCTTATTTCTGGTTCCTGTTCATAACTGAGAACAAGTGCAAGTGGGGACACCCATGAACTTCGCCCCCAGGAGTCCTCAGGACTGCCGGCTACAGGTGTGCAGGTTGTCCATGAGACAAGGAACCCATGGGGACCAAACACAGCAGCCTGCATTTGAGCACCCAGGGGCTGAGCGCACCTGCCCAGGAGGAGGATCTGAGAGCCAGTGGCAGCCCAGGGACGTGCCCAGAGCTGGAGGGGACACCCTGGAGCTCTCCCTCTGCTACCCAAATGGCCCCAGCTGCACTGTGGCATCAACAGTTGGAGGACACTGCTCGGGTTGTCCGTGCCCACTGCCTGCTCGCCATTTCACTGCAACATTAACTAGAGCCTTTGGGGAGCTGTTGCTCTGCCACGCACAGTCATGGCCAGGAAGCTGGGCATCATCCCACTAACAGCCCCTAGTGACATGCCCCATTAACAGCCCCTGCAGAGATGTCTGCTTGTTCACCAGTGTTGGGACATGCATGACTGCCGGCGAAAGGCCCCTTTAGTGCACCATGCACGACAGACATTGAACACAGGCACTTTGGAAGAGTCATGAACATGTGGGATAAAAGGCAAGTTTTTGAAGACTCTTCTCCCACTGAATATACTTGTGAGACCAGTGTGATGGTTCAACTGGCTAATACTCCCGCTTCAAGCACTGGCATCCCATATGGGTGCCAGTTCTTGTCCCAGCTGCCACACTTCCCATATAACTCCCTGCTTATGGCCTGGGAAAGCAGTCGAGGATGGCCTAAAACCTTGGCACCCTGCACTCACATGGGAGACCTGGAGGAGGCTCCTGGCTCCTAGTTCTTGATTGGATCAGCTCCAGCCATTGAGGACATTTGGGGACTGAAACAACAGATGGAAGATCTTCCTCTCTGTCTCTCCTTCTCTCTGTAAGTCTGCCTTTCAAATAAAAATAAATAAATATTTAAAGAGAAAATACACTGGCAAAGGACTCCATGGACAGAAGTAAGAATCTAAGGTTTTCTCAGTTCTCCTTCCTCCCCCTCCACCTCCCCTTCTTCCTTCTGCCTCTTAGATTCCCTGCTTCAAATACAAACTGACCCAGATTCCTTTTTGCAACTCTACTGGGTGATAAATTTTGTAAATATATATATATATATATATATTTAAAACTCCTGTAACAGGATCAATTAAAAACACTTTATTTGAAAGGCAGAGTTATAGAGAGAGGAGAGATCTTCCATCTGCTGGTTCACTCCCTAAATGGATGCAAGAGCCAGAGTTGGGGCAGAGCCCTCATCTCCTGGCTCAGTCCTTAAATGTCCACAACAGGCCAAACGCTGGGGTTGCATCTGCGTCTCCCGCATGAGTGGCAAGAACCCGACTCCTGTAGTGTCAACAGGCATTCCCTGCACTTGCTTTGATAGGAATCTGCAGCCAGGAACTAGAGCCCAGGCACAGGCTCCAGGTGGGTCATGGGTATCCACAGGGCCTTAACCACCCGGCCGCCCTTCGTCACATTGCTTTTTGTCTGGGAGAGGTTTTGTCACCTAATCACACGAGAGCAGGCAGAGTGAGACGCTGTCCTCTCTAACATGGGGGCTGGCCGGGGATGACAGCTCCCCTGCCCTCACCTAGGGTGCTGTGCATTTTGGCTGAACCCTTTGAAAAGACAGTGGCTAGAAGGGGCTCTGGTGCTGAGAGCTTGAGAGTTTTTACCTTTCTTCCTCTGTCCCCCAATCCCCTTTCCAAAGCTCATGGAAAATGCATAGTACAAAAACTGTGCACAGATCTTGATATTTTTATGCAGTGAAATCAGTTGATCATTTCATTCCATTTTCTGTGAACTTGCTAGAGCCTCCTGATAGAACAAACAATACAGACCTGCCCCCTCGGATACACCCAGCAGAGGTGACCCCCGGGACCATGTGTGTGTCCAGGGAGCGCCCGGCGCAGCAGCAAGAGCCTCTCTCCAGATGGGGCCCTTTGCAATGCCCAAGCTGCCATGGAAGCCACAGAGTGGCCACGGATGCCATGGGGAGGGGAGCAGCTGGTGGGCACAGTCTTGTCCTGTGAAGTGCTAGGGCCAAAGCCAGGTGATAGGGCTTGCACGAGCTTGGGCTGCACGGGCACCATGGTAGCATTCACGCTCTCACAGGCAGGCTTTGAGCAAGTCCTAAGTGTGCTTGCTGGCCACCGTGTGGCCTAGTCCTCCTGCTTCTGCCTCATCTCTGAGAACTGTTCCGCCATCCTGGGGTGTCTGCTCAGGAACCCCAGACAGGGTTCCCTTGATCTCTTTCACATCCCCGTTTGTGCCTTGAACACTTGACCCCTGTCTCCCTGAATTACCCCCAATATTCCTCACCGAGATTTTCATGGTTCATTTCCTTTATGGCCACCTACATTTCTAGTTTTGAGTTTTTTCTGCTCAATTCTTTTCCTCCTGTCCTGCCCCTCATTCTTTGCTCACCATCTCTTCCTTGACATCTCATCTTGGCCTTAAACTAGTCTTTTCAAAGCATCCACTGGGGAACATCTGAAGTCCCCAGAGATGGAGCTGGTGGCAAACATCACTTTCTCCAACCACACCTCCTTGTCTTAACTTCCTGCCACTCCCTGTCCCTCCTCCTGGCCTCCCCTCTCTCTGCTGGCTCTGTTTCAACCTGTGGGTGAGGTTACTTGCTCAGAGCAGTTGTCTGCTGGGGGTACGTCACATGTGGAAGGAGCCAGATCATACGCCCAATAGCAGAGACATCTCTGGATGACATGGGCTTTCGTGTGGGTTTCTTCTGGACCAATCAGAAATGGCCTCATGGCTCCCCTTCCCACCCTCCTAAGCATGCATGTTCACACACACAGCCAGCCTGGGCAGCTCCTGGGATCCCATTGACGAGCCCACACCACGTGGGTCTCAGCAGAGCTGTTCTAAGAGCCAATTCCTGTTGTTTCCGGATGGGGAGGCTGTGCTGCCCACCAGAGCAGGGCTTTCCTTACCTGGCCTGCACCTGTGGCTGTGTTGTCCTGTTCTCTGCTTCCCTTCCTGCTCTGTACTTGCCCTTGGTGGCCCTCTCGGAGCTGGGGACCATGCTCTGGTGAAGGTACAGCTGGCATTTTTGTGCCAAGTCTTCTTGTTGCTCTTGGAGGTACTTGTAAAAGTAGAGGAGCAAACGGTCTTTACTCCGCCATCTCAGAAGTATGCCCATGTGGCCCTCCTTCAGAATCCTCACACTCATGCCTGCTCCCAGGTTTGGTCATCACACAATTTCTAGACAGAGCCCCCAGCCCAACACCTTCACCTTCTATAGGGGGGGTTCTACTCTCACCTGCTGTCTGGACTGCCCAGAGCCCTGAGACCCCACTGTCTCCTTGACTGATGGGTGCGGTGTCATCAGCTCAGATGCCCTGCCCTTCGGTGCAAAGGACATATTAATGACGTCAGTTGTCAGTCACAGACCAGCACAAGGCTTTGCATGTGAGTCGCTAGACATTGAGGCTGCAGATACAGTGCAACTCATGGACATCTCCCTCAAAGTTAACAAATCAACAGGTTAAGCATCGGTGGTTTGCCTTTATGTGAGAGCCAGCCATGTGACAGTTCACTGAGAATGAACAAAAATGCTACAACCTGTCAGTGGGCAGGGAACCAGGATGGCATGTGGGATCAGGGTGTGGGGAGCGGGACAGCACGTGGGAAGGAGTTCCGTGCAATGGTGAGCCGGGCCACATGTTTGTAGCTGTGGTGTCAGACATGGGCAGTGGCAGAGAAAAGGAGGCTGCCCAGCACAATGCGACCAGTACTCAGGGTGCAGTTGGCCTGCAGCGACCCGCAGACAGCGTGTCCAGATGCTGCCAGAGCCGTGCTTTTGTCGTTCAGGGGAGAGGTGATTCAGACAGCCCCGAGCACTCGGCTGTGTTCTTGATGGCCTCTCGGGCCCACATTCCACATCTGGAAGTCATTCAAAGTATGCTGTCATCTGGACTGGGTAGGCGCCAGAGACACACATTTAACTCCATCTTGCTCTTGCCTGAGAATTTAACCTTTTCCTTCCCTGAAACTCTCAAAGCATTAAAAAATAAAAAGATTCGTTTAGGTTAAAGTCAGAGTTACAGAGAAAGAGAAAGAGGGAAATCTTCCATCTGCTGGTTCACTCCCCAGATGGCCACAGCAGCCCAGGATGGGCCAGGCTGAAGCCTGTAGCTAGAGGTTCTTCCAGATCTTCCACAGGAATAACAGGGAGCCAAGCACCTGGACAGTCTCTCCCTGCTTTCTGCAGACCATTGGCTGAGAGCTGGATCATAAGTGGAGCAGCCAGGACACAAACCAGTGCCCATGAGATGCCAGCATGGCAGGCAGTGGTTTTAACTGCTATAACCACAATGCCAACCCAAAGAATCTTAAAGCATTTCAACAAAGATTTTCCATATAGGTGAGCAAGGAAGCAGGTATCATATGTATCTATTTAGTCCAAAACCATCACATTTTAAAACGGACACCATGGAGTGACAATGGCTGCAATGGCAGCTCATGTTCACAGAGCCCTTTGGTATATACCAGGCACTACCATCCATGTTGCCATCCATGTTGGCATTTTTCACTCAAAACTCACATTAACCCTGTGAGGTATATGCTGTTGGTAAGCCCATGGTGACGACAGGGCACTGACACAGAGTGGCTGATGAACCTGTCCAAAGTCACACGACTACACACTCACAGGGCTGGAACTGGGTCCAGGCTGCCTTGTTTTGGGGAGCCGGGCAGAGCCACCAAGCAGCGATGTTCGGTGCGCTCCCCTGGGCGGATGCCAAGCCCACGTCCAGTGTGAGTGGTCTGAGCGCACCCTTTCCTTTGCCCCACATGGAGCCAGTCTGGCGGTGTCATTGCAGTC